GAAACAAATGTCTCTCAGAGCACTGAAACATTGACTTTGTACTGCACTAATAACGGCCCCTTGCATCTGATGCTTTGCTGCAGAATCAGGGAAAATAATTAAATTGCATTGAAAGCATTTCTTTTCATTTATTTATAGACCTTGCAGTTGCAGAGGGGAGAGGAGGCTCATGAGAAACAATGCAAAACATTTCATGAGTTATGCATTGCAAATGTTTTGCATGAAATATGGCGTTACCTCAATTGTTATTGTGATTTTTTTTTATGGGCCTCTCATACTCCTTTGCGGGGCTTACTGAATATCAGTTGTTATAAATTATTAATGGCAGTTGGGCTTTGCTAACATGTAATTACTTGCATGCTTTTAATGGTATGTGAGCAGGATAACTATGCATGGCATTCACGGTCTCAAAATGTTTCAGAAAGCTAAAATAAAGTGCAAATGCATGCCAACATAGAACAATGAAACTTCCTTCTTTGCCTTTGTTAGTGGGACATAATCAGGAAACGGAAGATTACAGGTTGATTACTCATGAGATAGACAGTGGGTTTTTATTTTGGTTTTTTTTCAACTGTCAAGAAGCTGTGTTCACTCTTGGAGAGGGTGTTACTTTCACCTAATGGTGCACCCGCATCCAATTTTGTTGCAAAACTAGCCTCACTGACATGCTGCTGATAAAACACGCACTCTAAGATTGTGCAATTTGTTCATGCTGTGTAAGGGAGTAGTATACAAGTGCATGGGCTGTGTTACAGACAATCATTAAATTCTCAAAAACTGATTATCATTAGTGTTTTCTTAATTCTTGCTTATGCTGCCCTCTAGACCAGTGGTTCTCAAACTTTATGTGGTCAAAGAAAAGTAAAAAGCAAGACAAATTCAAGACACACCTGTATTTATGTTTGCAGAAAACAGGGATTTAGGTTATCTCGAAGGAGGTCAGTGACAATGGTGCTTTTGAGCATGTGCATGTTGCTTTGCAGCAAGCATGTAACAGCGATCCATAGCCTTATCAGGCACTTCCATACATTCAAACAAATGTTCCCACTGCATATGGTTGAGATCCCAAGCTCTTTAACAGGGGGCGGTGTTTCTTCAGGAAGGGAATTTTTAGTTTGCAGGTACAGTTTTAGCATTTCTTTATCTCCTCGCATCAAATTGCAGACAGTTTTTTAAGTAATTTCTAATAACAGTTTTTGTTTCTTTAGGTAGTTTGTTTGACTTATTCCACACAGTAAAGAAATCAGTGTTATCTCCTCTTAAATGTTATCCTCTTGCCTGTCAGTTCTTTTTTTGTAAATCTAAGGGTATTTAATGTGGAATAATAGAGAAAATTAAATCTCATTTACTATTTTTTTGTGCAGTTTCAGTTATAATGTTTATTGGGCTGACAGGGTACATCAGTATGCTTTGACACAGCATTTGGAACCACTGGTCTAGACAGAGGTTTTTGATTTCCATCCCTTCTGGGATTGACCATCTTTGCCTGATTCCTTTCACATCCTCTTCTGTACAAATTTTAATTATTTAAAGAAATAGCCACAACAGAGTAAGCTTAAACTGCTCAGATTTGTCACAGACATTTTGATTGGTATCCCTAAAAACAAAGGTTAGCTGTGTAGAAAAGTGGCTCGATTTAGTGGACTAAATTTAGTCTTAGTGCTGCATGCTGATCCTGAAACTGACATGTTCGGTGTGTCAGCATGCGGAGGAGAAAGAAAGGAACCGGACTAAGATGACTGAAACACAGCCATGCATGGTCTCATTTAAAAGAAAAGAAACAAAAAAAGAAGGAGCAGGACAGGTGTTTTCTAAGTGTGTTGCTTTTTAATTACAGAAATAATGGACGATTCCCATTTCAACTCATCATACTTTTGGTCTCCCGTCCCCACTGTACAAGGACAGGTAGACACAACCTTATTGTTGGAATTGTCTTGAATTACACATGGTATAGTGGTCTGTGCTGTTGGAAAAAAATACCCCGAAGCACTTTAAAGATTATATCACAACCTGAACATGTTGTTTTTAACACCACTAAATAATGCTGGCAACGTTGATGAAGTTATTTGACTTATTGATGGGTTCACATGATCACTCCTGTCCCTCTCCTCTCTCATCTTTTCAATCTTCTGTTCCTGTTTTCATTTGCTTTTTTTGCATCTCACCATGCCTTCGTTTTCTCTTCTCTTCCATTGTTTCTTCCTCTTCCTCTGTCTGCTCTTATCTAACCCATTAACTCCTACCCTTCACTCTCCCCAATCTTCCCATTCCTTCCTCCTTTATTCTTCTTTAATTCCTTCTGTTTTTACTGTCATTAACCTCTCATTTTCTGTCTCATTTGTTCTCCATTTTCCTTTCATGACACACTACGTTTATCGCCACTCTGCTTGTGTCATCTCTGGGTCGTCCTGTTTTTTCCCCACATAAACATATGACTCTTCTTCACATCTTTCTCTTTCTTCCTGTCTTTTGTATTTTTATTTCTTTTTCAACTTCTTCCAAACACCCTCATCATATTTCCTCTTTCAACCTGCCTTCTTCATCTCTGGCAAGTCTCCTTTCTCCTTCCCTTTCTTCCTTCCTTCCATATCCTTTTCCATCCACCGTCATCAAACATTTCACCCTTACTGTATCACACTCCTTTGCCCCCTAATTCCTACACCCTTCCTTCTTTCCTCTCTCCACTCCCCACTTCTGTCTAGATTGAGAACGCCATGTTCCTGAACAAGGCGAAGGAGCAACTAGGTCCAGAGAAGGCCAGTGCGCCCTCCTTTCCTCACTCTTCTGCGTCTTCCACTTCCTCCCCCCACTACCCCACGGCCGTACTCGCCATCCCCAGCTCAGTGGATGGAACGGCTGGGTTACGTGTGATCCCTAAACAGGAAGGAGGCGGAGGCAATGTAGGAGGGGGTGGTGGTGGAAACAGCAATAGCGGACCCCTGAGTGCGGTGGGGGCACACCTGCACCAGTCGCACACTTCCCAGAACGTCACCGTTGTGCCTGTTCCCTCCACGGGTATCATGACTGCAGGTGAGTGAGCAGCTCTGATGTTTTCACCAACCTGAGTCGTTGATGATTTTCCAGTTTGTCTTTTTTCTTATTTTGCAAATTGTGACAGAAAAATTCTCTGAAAAGGTCTATTAAAAAAAAACTTGCCTGATTTAAATTTGGCCAGTCTCCTGTTCAAGATCATCTTCTTGTGCACCTCTGGATGTTTATTTGATCTTGGTGGCATCCCTGTTATGTCTGTTTGCATGTGTGCTTCAGTGTTACAGAATTTTTAA